AAAGATAGTAGATAGTGGGATCCCAATAACTGTTTAGTTATATATATAAAATATAGTCATACATATAGACATATATTGGTCTGTTGCTAGTTCTTATTCCTTCTGCGAAAGGATAGCATATTTATAAAAAGTTTATCACTGCTGGACCTAACGTGTGACTGCAAATATCAAATTAAATATGAAGAAAAGTTATTTCTCTCTTATTTGACTGCTAACAGCAGATGCTTAATAGTGTGTATAAATGTAATGCTATATATCATATAAAACAACATAGTAGTTTTTCAACTTCAGAAATAATATATGTTAATGAATATTTGTCTAATAATAGCAAGTGATTGTCTCTACAGATATCACAGTATAGGGGAACTCTTCCTTTTTTAAAAAGAAGATTCATCTTTCTCTCTGCTCTGAAAATCCCTGAGCTCTGAATACAACTGACATAGAGGAGAGCCAAACAATTCCATTTCTTGTTTATTAATTTTGCTTTTGTGATGTCTTTTACTGGATAAAGCTTTCCTTTTATGATGAATGAAAGCCCATTCCTTTATTCTTGCTCACACACAAAAGCAGTTTGAGCTTCCTTGGAATGGCTGTTTGGTGTTTCAATCTTGTATAATAAGTCCTGAAATTACAATTATACATTTGTGTCCTTTCCTTTGTTTTCACTATTTCTTCCTTATACAACTTGTATGTAACTCAGTTTTCACTTCACAAATTCACATACAGTACAGAACTATCACTTTTGACATGCGCCAATGTTTTTTACAATCTAGTATTTAATAGCAATAGTGCTATTGCTCAATTGTTCCTCAGAGTAAGTCAGAAAATATTTATAAAATTTAATAATGTATTAATAATGTATAATAGCATATTTTGCCTAGTCTCCAGACTCCACTTTATTAAAACCATTCAGCAACACTGACAAGGCGGCAACAAGCTTCTGAGTTCATTTTTAGGAGAAAATGATTCACAAACAGGATAGTGACAGGCTTTTATGATTACAGATTTCACACATTCTTTTCCTTCAAAAGAGCTTATATAGATTGATAGATCTACAAAGAAAGAAATGAAAAAAATGAAAGGAAGAGATATAAATAGACTTTTTCATTAGGATGAATGATGGAAGGTATTAACCCCACTAGAGCAGTGTGCCTTTTACATGTCTTCTTCTTTATTCCTTTTGACCTGTTATCATCTTCCTTCTAAGCAAAAGTTAACTACAGTCTGAAATGTAAGTAAGGTGAGCAATAGCTGGAAATAAATGTTTCCTCAAGCATTATTACTGTTCAGAAAAGTGTCCATCAGTCGAAATGCCAGCCTCAAAATCCATTTAAGCATGGCACAGAGGCTAAACAGGCAGTTATTATTAATTTTTAAGTCTGCCTGACAGGTTTCAGACCAAGAACTGGGATTAACTTGATGCACTGATTATTGCAGAATATATTTAATTAGGGAAACTTTGACTCTCAGATGGCTGAGGACTTATTCTGTGCAAACCACTGCAACACTATTATAGAACAGTTGCATTTGCCTATAAAAAGAATCTGCTATATCATATTAAAATGCACATACTTTATCTTTCATTGTAGATTCTTCAACTTTTATCCTAATATAATCACTGTCTACTTTTAACCTAACTATTCTGAAGCAGCACTGTACTTCTGTCTTAAATAAAGTTTAGTTCATTATGTTGCAAGTTAACAAAGTGAGTTTTTCCAGAGTAAGTCCTATTCTTCCCAGCTAATTACTAAAACAAATCATTTCCCCGCTGTGCCTTATATGAACGTTTCTTCATTTAAAACATATCTGCGGAATGGATATAAATGGTAGAACATTGTAACATACTTATCCATAAACACCAGGACACTAAGGCATAAACAGAGATTAAGAAACAAATTAGCACAAAGTGAGACACTAAAGGGCTATTTAGTTGCTTTTGACTGACTTCAAGAGCTTACATAAAAAAAAAAGGGAACAAATGAGAAATTATTTCACTCTCCTGGTTGTAAAAACTGCTGGGTGTATCCATTCTGCTTTTTGCTCCCCTTCCAGCACCCTGCTCTGGCTCCTTGTGCCACATGATCCTCAGGTAACTAAAAAAATCTATTCCTGCAGGAATCTGGAAGATTATATATAAAAGTACAAATGAAAATGCTAAAGTGGTCCAATCATAATGAAGACTACAGATCTGAATTAGACAGTACTTTTCGAGACGAGTAAAATGGTTTTCACACAAAAATAACAAAATACTATACTCAAGCTTGCCATTGGTAGCTGGTGAAGACAAGTAGAAACTAGATGCAGATATCTGGCACAGAGAATGAGCACTGGGTTGATTTTGGGTACTGGATCGCCCTAGCACTTGGTGTATTTCATTGTTAGGAAATATGTCAGTTGTTCTCCATTCACTGTGATTTAAATTTCCATCGGTGCCATACACCATGAAACTCTCAAAAGATGGTAAGGTTGGCAAGCAGTCAGAGGAAAGTGGCTTGGGCCTTGGATGTCAGAGAGACCTTGCCCTGAGTCTTTTGAAGTACACACATTTTCTAAGTGAATAAGGCCTTTAACTTGACAATAATCCTCTGCAAGAGCTTGAAGATAAACTGCGTGTACTCTTTAGCAGCTGACTATTTGTCAAGAATGTGTTATACTCTTTTGTGGGATTGCTCTAGTTCTTTCACACACACCTAAAATACTGATGTGTGAAGGATTATCCATTAAGGATTAAACAAATGCAACAATAATATAGACACACTGATATAAAAAGTAAAGAGTCTGACTTCCTAAGTACACACATATGTGTCTGCACATGCATGTGTGTGTACACACATTATTATTCTGCTAATTAAACATAGTGAAATCTTTGTCTTCCTAATCAATCCAGTCTTCCCAGTCATTTAATGATGTCCCAGTGCTCCATGAATTTTGTTGGCAATTGCCTCATGAATTAAGTTTCCAGGTGTCAATATGAAGCCTTAACTCATCAGAGCCATGTGAAAAGGACAGTTGCCTCTTGATTTCACTAACAAAAGACCCTGTTATACATCTCAAACTAGACTGCTGTTTGCTTCCACCCTATCCTTTGCTGTTACCCTGTGTCACCAGTTTCTGACTGATCAGTGATTCCTAGCTTTCTATGAAAATGTGTTCAGACTTTTCCTCCACCTTAACACCTGCATTTCAGGTTGCTCCTCCAATTGCCTGGAAAACAGAAGACTGAGAGGTGATCTCATCAATGTATACAGGTATCTGAAGGGAGGGTGTCGAGAGGATGGGGCCAGACTCTTCTCCGTGGTGCTCAGTGACAGGGCAAGAGGCAACAAGCATAAACTGAAACACAGGAAGTTCTGCCTGAACGTGAGGAAAAGCTTCTTGACTGTGAGGGTGACAGAGCCGTGGAACAGGTTGCCCAGAGAGGTCGTGGAGTCTCCTTCGCTGGAGATATTCAAAACCCACCTGGAGGTGATCCTGGGAAATATGCTCTATAGAGGACCCTGCTTGAGCAGAGAGGTTGGACTCGATGATCTCCGGAGGTCCCTTCCAACCTCAACCGTCCTGTGATTCTGTAATTGTTCATGTTTTTCATGTACTGCACCAGTTTTCACCCCAGGTTTCTTGGATTGTTTCTTACTATGTTAAAAAAAACTTAAGACTCCTTCCCTCTCAATATTATCTGAGAATTTCTTTGATATATTTTCTTCCTAACAGAAGCCTAAATTAAAATGTTAAAACAGATCTGACAGTAATGTCTGTTGCATTACGATGGAGAGCTAAATATAGTATAGTTTGCAACAATGGAAAAAAATATTTTGTTAATGGTTCTTCACACTGCTTTCAATCAAAAAGTCTGTTTTTCTATCACAACCTGAATTACTTGAATTATGTTTTCAATAATATTTTCAAGATATTACCAAATGTTTTCCTCAGATCTGAATTTATTTCATTTCTTTCCTTTCATTTCACCCACTAGTGCTAATTCGATGAAGAAACAAACCACCATGTTAAGCTATATGTTAAGGTTGGACTAGATGATCTCCAGAGGTCCCTTCCAACCTAAACCATTTTGTGATTCTGTGATTCTGTGATATATGAATAAATCTTTATTAATAAATATTTGGTTCCATATTATTTATCCTATAGCTGCAAAAGGCATCTTTTTCTTGGTATTTGTTCCATTTCCCCCCCGCCCTGGAATAGATACACTACTTAACTACGTATGTATGAGAGGAAGTAATTAACATGATCACCCATTCTCCCTTTTTTTAAACAAACTTACTTTCACATTTGCTCCCCTTTCCTCAGCCAGTATCATTCTAATCAAAGTTCTGCTTACAATTCCCTATGGTGATCATGTGGGTATGGTGAGACTGTTAGATAGCCATCACAATATCTTTGCCCGCAGCATCCTAGCTAAACTTTCAACACATTTCGGTTTTTCAAATGCACACTTGAGGACTTTTTTGAAATAAATACTTTGTTGAAGGTATTCACACTTTCAAACTTTTCAAAAATGGAAATATATATATATAAAGTTTTGTTGATAAGGCAGTTTGAGAACACGGGATCAGTAATTCAGACACACAGTCTAGTTAATTGTAAGTGTTGAACATATTTATCTAACTGTGACATCTAAATGTCTGACACTGCAGATGGTTAGACTTTATTGTTGCTAAAATGGTCATTTTAAAAGGCAGAGTGTTTGATTCAAATTTAAATGTACATACATAACAATTTACATGTATGCACCATGCTTTTGAGCAGTATGACTCTGACTCATGCAAGCAGTTCCCAGATCCCTATCAACAAGTGTAATAAGTATAATCCTGACACTTGTAGTACCTAAATAAGCAGGCATTTGAAAAAAGTTAGTTGTGTACATGAATGCCACATCCTTCAGTTTTTCAAATTTTGTTCTTCTTCTTGGTAGTTAGTGCAAGACTAAGTCTCACCCCAGATAATGTGGCTCCAGAGATGCATAGGTGAGTATCAGTACTTACAGCTGTCCTCTTCCTCCATGAAAATACTGATCACGTAACAGGCATACACAAATCCAATCAACTGCATGAAAGAAGAGGAAAAGCAATCATTAGAATACTTCGGACACTTATTAAGCTTCTGCTACAACGCCATATAAATACAGGTATCACAACTGTATTTAGAAAAGATTTGCTTCCATTTCCTGAATTATATGAAAATTTCAGTGCATATAATCACGAAAGGCTAAACTAAACAGATTCTCCTTTGCTCATGTTGCGTCATATTCTAAAATCTTTTCCTCTTGCCCAGCCCTACTGAGAACATGCATAGTATTTTGAGCAATACTGTTTGAAGACAGCTTGATATTCAGCTATTATTTGCGCTCCTTTGTTCAGGACTTCTTGTGTTCACATGATTTTATCCACATGAAGGCTAGCCCCCTAAGCACCTAATTTACTTAGTATTAAAAAGTTAAAATATTTACTGACTGCTAAGGAATTAAGTCACAGTCAAGTTATTACAGAATTCACAAGAGTACATAAAGTGTCTCTGTGAAAAAACTATATGGTGAAAGTTTAATTTGATATATAAAATGTCATGATGCAGCTAAACTGTAAAGCATGTTATGATTCATCAGCATCAGGAAACACCTTATCAGCAAGACCTACCAGTAAATGACATTCACTATGAAAGAAATGAACAGACTCATTTCCCCAAAGGACAATACCAGAAAAATCATGATACTATTTTAACAGCACCTCCCAGAAAAAGATCCTCCTCAATCTGTTTCTGTGTTGCTTGTGCCACTGAGAGGAAGGGATTAAGATTCTCTGGAAAGGGGAATAGAAATTTTACTCGATCATTTTTCAGGAAGATAAAACGTTTCCTTTTGACTGTCACCAAGAAGGAGAAAATTCCACCGGGCAAGGAAAAATCTATTAAACCGCACTGCCTAGACATATCCGTGCTTGCGAAAATGCTGTTTGTGCAGCTATACTCAGTTCATGCTCTCTGAAAGCATTGAAAAGATTGTTCATGAGAGATTTCTAAAATAACCCAGAGATTAGTTTTCTTTAAAAAATCCTTTTGGCTAGATTGATTCAAAAAATCTAATTAAAATAGTTCTTTTAACTGTGTCATGGATCAGCCATCTGAGAAAGAGGTGATTTAATAGTATCTAGACAGGTGTAAGCTCCTTTGGAGGCACCGAAATCATTCCAGCCTGCTTTCTGGCTGGGCTGTGCCAGGAGCTTTACAGGCAGCTAGTTCCAAGAGCCTCTCGACAGACAAAAAGCTTGTCTACACAAGGGAATTCAGGGAAGTTAAGATGAATTAACTAAAGCTGTAAAATCAATGCACGTAAGATAAAGTATATTAAATCCTTGTGTGTCCTTTTGCATTCAGAAATAAAGTGGCTTTAGTTCACTGTAGCTTAATCCTCCTCCAAGGGATTAATCTTCCCTATGCAGAATTAAGCTACAGTACGCTAAAAGCAGGTTAGTTGCAAATGAGTGCTGTCACACTGCTGTAGCACTGCCCTGTCACAGCTTCCTCTCTTGGCTATTCTCCACACTGGTGTTTTCAGATAAAAAAAAAAAAAAGAATGAAAGAAAAAAAAAAGAAAAAAAGTGAGCTTGTGAGTTTAATCTAACTTTCCCATTGCTTTGAGGTGGCTGCGCTATTGGCAACTTCCTTGGCTTTTCCTTTTGTCAAATAGCATCACTTAGTCTTTTTCAGGTGGATATAACATCATTGTACTGATACTCTGACCTAGCTAAATGCAAACCAGCTCTGAAACAGGCACTGAATAAACACAGTTAGGACAGAGCCGTGCTTGGGTTAATAACTGCTGCTAAGCAGCAGAGCTTGCTGGCATATGCACAGGGTCATGGTAACTGGTGCTAGGGGATACCTAGAGCTGTGCCATGGCCAACTGGCTCCGCGCACATTCACACTTAACTGCAAAAGACTACGTAAGGATGCAAGAGGAGGCCAGCCTCCTGCTACTAACGAAAACATAATCTTGTGGGTCTGCTGCCTGGGGCCTCCAGGACCAGTGCTGGCTTACAGACTCCTTGACAGGTTAAACACGCTCTTTTCCTAAACTTCATGGTTTAGAGTGTCTTTCCCACGTGGCAACTGAAGCAATATAATAAAAAAGGCTTTCAAGGGATCAAAAGATCAGTCCTCCTTGAGGTATATTATGTGTGCCCCCTTAACATGTACACACACACATAGATTAAATTATTATTGCACTAAGTACTATACAAATACCAGAAAATAGATGGCTTCTCTAGAGCGAATGTTAACTATTCATTTATACTATTTTACCATTGTGCATTGTGTTATTTGATCAGGTAAGTCATGTGGGATTTTTTATTCTCCCTAAATATGTGACTGGACTATTTTGAAGACTGAAACTGTTGAGTAAATAATAAATATATGAATAGATTTGTTTTGTAGTACAGTTCTCCAGGGAAAAACCTATAAGCATTTTCACAGATTAATTGTGGCTATCCAGATGTCAAAAAACAATATGATGAAACAGCAGCAGTTCTACATGGACCTGTCCTAGTAGACTAACGGTAGTCTCTCTGACTTTTTCACTTTTTGATCGGGTTACTGCAATGCTATTCATATGGTACAACACTTTAAGACCATAGATCACAATTAAATAGATATCACTTCTCTTAAGAGAGTGGGTGTGAAAGGAACTGTAAATGCCACCAGCGTCCTAGCAGCAGTGCCCAGCAGCTTAGCACTGCAACTTGCCATGTACCCTAAAGGGGGTTTCCTGTTAACGAGTGAAACGTTGTTAGAAGCACGTTTTTTTTTGTGCTACGTAACGTGTCCTGGTGTCACTCATGATGTAGGCTTCAACCTTAGCAGCTCTGCCCCACCATTCCCATGAAAATATGGGACTATAGTCCCATACAGAATGTGACTATAGAAAAGGCCAGATTTTCCTTTGTGACAAATAGGGAAGTGCAGATCACCCTTTGCTGTCTGACCACTCCATGACCTAGGCTAGATGAGGCTCATGCTTGGGTGTCCAACTCTACTTTTTTGCAATAAATCCCAGACGTACTGAGCTTTAGAATGCTCTGAAAACATTGCCTCTTCTTCCTGACATAGCAAAAGAATGATGGTACAGACTGAGCACTGGAGGTAGGTGTGACAGTTACATGTTGGGAAAAATGCTCAGCCATTTAGAATTATTTACCATTTTCCAGTTCTATATTTTGTGATTTTTTTTCTTATTAACATTCTGCATTAAATTAACTTTACTTTTATAATTGCAGTCTCTTCTTTCTTTTTTCTCTTCCCCTACCTGTGAGCATGTGTGCTCCATAAATATGCATTTCATATAAAATATCTATCCATGAGTGCTTCTGGCAAGTTTCTCTCGCATGTCGCATATGCCATGCCATCTCACATGATGGATAAAGATGACGTGTTAGCTGAACATTTATAAGCAGAGTAAAGTGCTTTTTGGGGTCAGTTTTACAGGTTTGATAACGACCTGCATGGGAACACACACACAGTATTTCCACAGTATGGTTTCTATTCATTAAGGAGGTGCATAATGCTCACAGTTAGCGAGAATGTTAACTTGATTCCACCAAATCCCATCCCCTAGCATAGAAAGAGATTTCCACTCCAATATGCAATAATTTACTTGACACAATGAGGAAAAATGACAGGGAAAAATAATCTAAAATAGAGAACTTCTCTCCAAGAAATATGGGGCTTGGCAAGCCTGATTTTTTTTTAACAGTCATTACAGCTTACATCTCATTCTTTCAGTAGATCTTTTCCCACTCACTTTAGTGTTTGGCACATGCTTAGTTGTAATGCCTTTGTCTCATCTATGACATTCTTTTTTCAAACTCAGCAGCCTCTCTCTGCTTCTCAGTATTTCTTTATAATTCTCAGCACTTGTAGATAAACATTCTTCAATCAGGTAGAAATCACAGCTACATGTCATGTTTATGGCAGACACTTATTTAAAACATCCCATTTCTCCCTGGATTGATTATTTATTAAAAGCTGCAAAAATAAAAATATATACTTGCCTAGTCTCAATTATGCAGTCTTTTGTGGGGAAAAGGGAAGATAAGGTATCTAATCATACTGGAAAGCTTCATAACTCCCCTTCCTCTAAGAATATCTTTCTGTGATTAAATGGGAGAATGCACAGTTCTAAAAGAATAAAGCAACAAAGAGGAAAAGAGCTCTTTAACATCTATTGTCAGGTATAGCTGGTCACTGGTGGACAGTAATGCTTAGCTTGTGGCTAACTTACCAGCAATTACAGTCGGGTAATGGTTAACTACAGTACAATTAACAGGAAGCGATAAAGTGGGAATACATTCTTCTGCAAATTGGACCTGTCTCCAGATCTTTTGTTTAAAGGTCTGGTGGTTACAGCCACCACAGTGTGAACAATTTTATAAATGAATTAATTAAAACCTCTTCTTTTGCTTTATTGATGGACACACTAATAAAATATTTATTTCAACAAATTACTTTTGCTATCTTGATTAACCCAGATGCTGTTTAATTAATAATGTTATGCTCATGTGAACCCATGTAGCCATCATATTAATTGCCAATTTGCAATGAGCTGACTGATGTGTACTGCCTGATTTCTTGATATTGGAAAGGTTGGCTGTTGACCTGGCACCAAGTGATAGACTGAAACCTGTTGTTCCTTGATAACTAAAGAAAATATGAGGCAAATGACCTGGAGGATATTTATTTTGCTCATCTTGGTTTTCAGTAAGCGTTCAGAGTGACTACTGAGCTGGTTGGAACGGGATGTCCAGGACATCAAAGGTCTCTAGCACCTAATGGGGCAGATGGGAACCTACGGCTTGATCCAGAGAAGAATTCACATGCCAAAGTGGGCTTATCTTTACACTGTTGAGTTTCAAGACATAAAAGCCTTCTGGGGTCCCTCCACTGTCCATGTGACTGCTTGTCTTGGCTGCAAAGTCCGGTTTACTAGACTGGACTCAGAAGACACTTCTCAGTGCTATTCTGAAGAAAATGAGGTGGGAGCAGCAGTACAGTACACA